CCCGCCCCCGCGGTGGAGGAAAAGTCAAGGTGAGGCTAACAGCTAATGTTCATATTAACTCTCACCCACTAAGCTGTGGTAAAACCATCACAGAGAGTCCTCACAACTTAACGTGGGTGACTGTTCCTGTATAGCCCCGTATGTAGACCACATAGATACCCTGCACAAAGCTGGTCTTAGCTGTCAGGACAGAGAGGTCGCTAAGCCTGTTACTGCAATGCTCTGCCAGTATTTGAATTTCTGAGAAATATATCATGACTGCAACAAGAGCAAGTGTACATCCAAGCATGTGTACTAGATGAGTAAAACTCTGCCGTTTTGTCTTGAAGTCAGAGTTTCTGATGCATTGCACTGGCTACAAATTCTGCTTCTACACTTCATGCAATAATAACTATGCCCGCAAAGAATATCATGTTTTGCTTAAATGTAAAAATAGAGCCATCATGGAGAACATGGGGAAATGCCTTCCACAAATAATACATGCATACATACTCCTTTGTTACTGTTTTGGATTTCTCTCTTCTTTTTTTTTTTCTTCTCCTGCCCACCACTGTTTATTTGTTTGTGTTCCATATCAGTGTTAGTAGTCAACATCATTTCATACTGTTTAGAGCACTGACAGACTTATTCAGGGTCCCCCATACGAAGCATTCGAGTGTTTGTGTCAGCGCTCGCTGTGCATGACAGGAACTAACATTTCTGTGTTCTGTTTGTTTTATCTGTTTAGGGAGGAGGAGTTCGATGAGTACTTTGAAGACATGTTTCTTTGAATCTGCCGGTATCAGCGGGAGCCCTGCTGTGACTACACTTCTTTCTGTGTCCCGCTGACATTAAGCATGGTCTGTGCGTGCGTGTAGGTTTATTCCACTGTATGTTCCATTACTACCACAGAAATAAACACAGTGTTTATCCTCCCCGTACCTGTCAGGATTCTCTTTGCATGTCTGGCAATATTCCTGTTTCACTCCCACCATCATGACAAAAATACTGTAATTGAGAATAGTTTTTGGCAGCACGGCTCTAGAGACGGCCAAGTCCAGCTTACAGCACAGCTTTGATCCAGACTAAAGTGTCGCCATGAATTTTGGATGGGTTGCTCTGAAATTTGTTACATCCCTTTGGGGCAAGAAACTTTTCATCTATTGCCAGCATCAAGCTCTTGATTAACGGCAAATATTGTGTAACCGGTGACAATCCCATCAGCCTCAGCCACACTTTGTGTTTAGTGTAAACTACCAGGTGCTGGATGCTACAGATGTTTAACATGTTAAGCGCTGTACTCGCCAAATGGCAGCATGCTGATGTTGTCACTTGCGCTGCACTTTAAAATCCATTAGCACAGCTGTAGGCGAGAAAATGTCAATATTATCTAAACCTCACGTTATCTGTGATTAAGGGAGTGAAAATTCAGTAAAAATATTAAAAGTAATTAAATGATAAGTAAGAGAAAAGAGTCAAACACTCTGCTGATACAAAAAGACAACAAGGATTAGCTTGAGATGTCCCTCGGGCCAAGGGCAGATTGAAGCGCTGCCTCGACTTCAACTTGCAGAAAAGGAAGCTGCGTGAGGTTGCTGGGAGATTACAGGCCTTGGCTTAAATAAAGACAATTACTTCACCTCTCTCGCTGCGCTGTCTGTCTCGTTTTAACTTTCCACGCTGCTTTCACAGGAGAGCACTTTCACGTTAAGATTCACGGCGGTGCGAGCTAACAGGTGGTTAAGTGTAGTACGCTGAGCAATAACAGCATGTTGTTTTTGAGCGAAGATGGGCTCCTCGGCCTTGAGCTATACTTGTACACCTGGACGCATTTACAGCTGATCAGTTGTGGGATCAACATTTGCTTGTTTTTCTTGAGCAGGGGGAGAAAAATTCTACACAGGAATTGATAAATCCCACATAGAAACAACATGTTCAAATTAAAAACGTTCAGATTTAAAGCCAACAGAGATACCGAGCCGATTTGTACAAGGTGAAAATTAGTATTTCTGCTTCAAGTAGTGTATAGATGTGTAAATACTGCCAGCTACTACACACAAGCTGTCAAATCCACGTGCAATATACTGAATTTGTGGAGCAAATTTCTACATCACACTGCTGTCGGTTGCATATTGGACTGCATGTCTCAAATTCAGCACAGTGAAGCTCAAACGTCCAAGTCAAGCAATAATAAGAAAAACACATTTTTGAGTGGAGGGGCTCTTTAACATCTGAGTTATGGGGTCTTGCGAAGACAGTCGGGAGCTGTCGCCTAGGGAGGAAAACCAGCTCTGCACTCACTAACCCCGAAACTGTTTTGGGGAACGAAAGGTCATGTTGACGCTGGGGTTGACACGCTGAAGTGTCCCACTAAATGATAGATTACAGGGCTTGTTTTGCGTTCCTTCTTGTCAAGTATTCCATCTTGTCAGGGGAGAACTCAGCAGCACCCTGGATTGCACCGCTGCAGCATCGTTGCTCTTAATTTTTTTCCTATTATTGTTTAAATGATGACACAACGCCACGCCAGTCTTCTGCATGCAGAATCTGCAAACAACAAGCCATAGGAGCAGCATTGAACAGCACAGCCAGACAGCATTGTATCGAGCAGGGATCAGAACCAATCCAATGATCCTCTTTCCCCAGAGGCTCATCCAGCTTTGGAGCCTCTAAGATCCCGCACGATATATGACTAAGAGCGAGCGCTGTTGCAGCTAAGCCCACGGATTCTTAAGTTCATTCTCCGTCTCCGTCTAACCTTCATGTGCATGAGTCGAGTGCGAACAAGAGATAAAGCATCACCTTTGTGTGCTGTTCCATTTTCATATTGAGAAAACTCTTTATTCTTACACCTCCATAAATTCCTTTATTTGCTTACACATATTACATCTCATGACACATACATACAGTAGAGGTCATTTCATACATCGAAGGTTAGATTTCTAATGTCTGAATGACGGTTGATGGGATAAGTAGAAAGTATACAGTGCATTGTTTCGTATCTCACAAAGGATTCAGAAGGGGGGGTAAGAAAAGCAAGGGGCCATTTTTATCACTGGAGACAGAACCGGTGGCGAAGACGTTCTTATAAAATGTGTGCAGCGGGAACAATGAGGTAAAATCCTGGAAACGCATCGCTCGGGGTCGGATTCTGTGGATGTTTTTCGCGCAGTTTTTGGCTCCAGCGATTGCAACGGCTCCTCACTTTGCCTCTCAAGCAGCAGACAAGGAGTTTCCAGGTAGTCCCAAAGCCATTCTGATAGGATTAAGTGCCTTTGATTGATGCCCCATTGATTAGAGGAGATGCGTTGTGTAACAGAAAGCCAAGAGCCATCGCTTGCTTTGCCCCCCCTGAGGGACATTGCTAAAAGTGTTTGAGAAGGTGCGCTGGGGATGCGCCGTGAACTCAGATGCCTGGCAAGATAAGTTCAGCGTCGGTTTACACGGAGAGGTTTGTATTGTTGTCTCGGATCAGCGAAGGGCGACGCAAACGCCCGTACCGTCGTACAATCGAGGATGCTACAGTTGCATCTTTACAAACACAAGTCATCTGTACATACATATGATAAGGCTTTGGTAGCCTCATTTGTCTCCTCTGTAAGAAGGGTATTTAAAGTCTAAAGCTGTGTGGATCTCAAACACTGGCTGGCGATCAAATCCTATCAAATCTTCTTACAGGAGAGGTAGATCTACTGTACTGTTTGACTCTTGCCTGTTTAAAAGAAGCAAAAGTTGCTTTTAAAACCTTCAAATCATTTTTTTTTACGCCTCAGTTAATAAGTTTACACAATTTACATTTTAGCATTTCTATGTCATAAACTATATACAAGTGAAATCAATGTTTGGGAAATGTTTTGTATTTCTCCAGATCAGAAAAAAAAAAAAAACAGCTTAAAGGTGTTTACAACAGCTGACGACGAAAGTTTCTTGCGTTCGGTTCATCTTTACGATGCCTGAGTGTGATTCAGAATGCCCTCCTTCAAAGCTCCTCTTTAACTCTCCGTCCACTTCAAGTGCAAAATACTCAAAAAAACAAACTTGTATAGAGATAAATTGCATATTAAAACAAATGCCCCTCACGCCACTCAGCATTTTGAGGTAAGACAACATCAGCCCTTGTTTGATTTCGCTGTGGTGTCGCCGTTACAGCATTAAAAGATCCTTCAGATTCACTTTTGTGTTGAAGGAATTCGTTTTACATGTCCTTAAACGTTACTTTAACTCTTAAAATCCTAATTTTTAACCCCTTCCTCTGGTTCCTGTAATTATCATATAAAGTTAGGTAGTTGTACTTCCTGCCTGCTTTCCCTTCCCTGCATTCAGGGCCGCTACTGCTACAACAGCAGCAGCTAAGTGCATCGTGCAACCTACAGTACTGTGTTAGAAGACTGCCAATAGGAACGCTGTCGGAATGCTATGGCTTTGGCATGTATACACCCCACATGAAGCCCATGCGGGAACCTACTTCAACTACGCACAGGAAGGAGCTTGTTTCATAGCATGACTAGCGTACGAGTTCATCCAACCACGGTTCCAAACCGCGTCGGAAATATTTGGATCGTTACTACGTTAAAGAGGAATATACGTCGAGCATAAATGTTTCGCTTTTCAAATGTTCATGGCTGTATGTTGTAGAAAGCAGAGGGAGGAGGAAGATTCAAACACGTCTCCAGAGTCTTCTCTTGCAGTCAGAGTCCCAACAAAACTTCTCGATGAAGTTCCCGACTCTTCCCTCCTTGAAGAATAGTTAGGCTGGTCTGATCCAGACTGCACTGCAGACCAGACCTGACTACATTGGACTAGTGGGCTACACTGAACCAGGCCAGGACAAAAAAAAAAAAAAAAAAAGCGCCGGACTGGACAAAGTGGAAAGCAAATAACCAAAAGAACTACGTTGGTGTAGATGAGACCAGACCGAGGAAAAGATCCAACAAGATGAAGTGTCAGACCAGAACAGACTAATGTCGTCTAGATTAGTCCTAAACAGACCACGTGAGTCCAGATCCAAACACCAGTAGAGCTTAACATATGGTGCAGGTTTTTGACTTCCCTCCTTCACCGCCACCACCAGCTGAACAAGCACACAAAAACAAGAACAAGACGTATTGATACAGGATCGACACTGACACACAAATCAATGCGTATTTTTTTTTTTTTTTCTTCTTCTTACCTTTCTTGGCTTCCTCCTCTTCTAGCTTCTTCTTCTCATCCTCAATGGCCTTCATCTTTGCGTTGTACACCTCGGCCTGCGCGTTCCAATGCGACCTGTTGTTGTTCAGCCCGTCAAACATGGGAGTGATCTCTTTGTGGAACCTGGAGAATTCCTGACAAACGAAGGAGAGCAGACCGAAGGTAAGTATGCGTTATTCATGCGGTGGGATGCTTAGGAGAACAACCGAGAAGAAGGGTGTCTTTGCCTGACAATGATACGGGTATGCCTCTTTCAGCACGAGTCCACAGGGACGGTCGACACATGGACATTGTTATGGATGGAGCCTATACAAGTGTGTTTTTCTCCAAATACCATCCTGCCTGACAAACAGCCAGCTGACATTCCTGCTGGGGCCAACAGGGTTCAACGGGTTCACGTCTATACATTCTGTTATACAACCCAAGATAGTTGAGGCCACGGCAACACCTCTGTACAGCTAAGAACATGAGAAATTATTTGACTCTGTGGCCTTTTTTGTAGTCCGGAGGAATGTTTTTCTGGACGGCATTATAGATAAGGCGTCCATGCTGCTCCATACACATAGTAGTTATTCAGCTCCATCACCACAGGGTTGGATCTCAACCTTTCTGGTCTTTTTATATTAAAAATTGAACACATACGCCAGGCTTTAGAAGTTACTATTTCATGGGTTGTTGGTGGAGGAATTGAAAATAAATGTTATTGCCTTGAAAACAGTCACACACACACAAACAGTATAGGGCCTCGGAGTAAAGTTAATGACTCAGTTTAGCTACTACTTGCTAATACAAAATCAAATCAAAGCAGCTCATGGGAAGATTTTGTGTTTTTCTTTAATGGTGCTTGGCTTTGCTGTTTCTGAAAATAAAAATCGCAGCTGGATTAAATCGTTACACTCCTGTTTTGACTGCGAGCGTGTTTAAACTCCAGGAAAGATTGCAACACAGAGCAGACTCCCTTTCGCAAAATCCACGTCTGTTTTCTTCGGAATCACAAATTTATCTCGCCTCTATCAACTCCCCTTCATTGTTTATAATAATCAGCTGTTGTGGGTGCGCACGGTGCAAGAGGCAGTTTATTACCTTGTACACAAATGAGCACACGAAGTCGATGAAACCACACTGCATCTTGGGTAGCTGCTCGGCACAGTTCCTGTCCATCATGGGCTGAGAGAGACAGAGGAGAAGTTTTCAGGGTCAAGTTTTTTTTTTTTTTTTTTCTCCTACAGTCATCTTGTGAAAGTAATGTAAAAAGGGAGACGGAGAGTAGCAGAGAAGAAGAAGCTCTTACAATTGGTTGTTGATCCAAAACTGATCTCTCCAAATCACCCTGTTCCCAGAATTCAGCTGCTACCATCAGAGCCACCTGGAGGGAAACGGACGGACAAACGAAACGTGGAGGGAGGAGAGGATTTAGATTGAATCGGAAAGGAAATGAAATAAACATATTCCGCTGTTGTGAGGATTATTTTCAGTCCTCTCCAAACTAGCGCATTCACATGTACATGGGGCTTCACTTCTCCTTCTGTGAGCTATCTATTGGTGGGATTTATTATTGACCTTCTGTAAAACACAGTGACATAAGTGGTCCATTCAAAACCAGACTACGTCACTTTATGTTCTGCTTCATACTTTCATTTCTTTGCTGGAGCATATTTTTAGATGAGCATTAGATAGATAGATAGATAGATAGATAGATACTTTATTCATCTCCAAGAGAAATTTACAGTTCCAGCAGCTTCCAAGAAGGGAACACAGGGGCATGCAGTGTTCTAGTACAATACGGTGTAAAGAAAAATAATAATAATAAAATAAAATAAAAATAAAAATAAAAATATAAAAAATAAAATAAAATGTGTGTGCCAAAGTATATAAAAAATAAAATAAAATGTGTGTGCCAAAGAATATAAAAAATAAAATAAAATGTGTGTGCCAAAGAATATAAAAAATAAAATAAAATAAAACTGCCTTGAACATGATTTGTTTTGTTTGCTCCTGCACTTCCTCAGAGTTTTTAGTTTCTTCTGAACTTCACTTCATATATTTAAAGAAAAAAAATCAGCCCATGTGAAGGCTGTAGAGGCCACCCACCTTGCTCTGCACCTCCCAGGGCTTGGTGATGGCTGACAAGTCACAACCTGTCATCATCATGGCCCTGTAGGGGGGGGAGGAGAGACACGCTGTCAGTCAGGGAAAGCGAGATGACACTCTGCTAGTGATGCTGATGATTTGCAAGGGCCTGCTGTTTTAGAAATCTGCTCGCAAATAACGTCTTCAAGTACGGCAACAGATTTCTTTTTTCTTTTCACTCAAAAGCCGCCTAAATCGGTTACGTACATGACAATTTCCTTCCTGACGGGGTTGTTGGAAATATAAGCAATGGCCTCCTTTTCGTCAGGCATTGGCTCTGTGGCGTTCACGATGTTCTGGAACATGGTTCTCTTTCTGCATGAGGAAGAACAGATGAGATAGCAAAGCGTTAGTCAGAGCGATTGAGCTAAACAAGTCCACAGATTGATTCCATAAAACCTGCAGAGTCAAGGAAACTGATAACACAGACAAGCAATGATCGGCTGCACATGAACTCTTCAGAAAAATAAGCTTTGGTAAGCAAGTTTTTTTCATATCTGTCACTGAGTGTGGCTGTAGCATGTTCGCTGATTTTCAGAACACCTACTTGAAGTAAAGGGCCAGATCGGTGGCGATGATGCAGACGTCAAACAAATGCTGCACGTTCTCAAACTGACGCTTCTGGAGGTTGCAGAAGATGTTCAAGCTCTGCAAGAGACAAGAACATGCAGTTAAAATGTCTTCTCCTGAGTACCATTTGAGTCTGATGTTTAATAATGGGCCACACCTCTTCTGCCATGAGCGTCTTGCTGTACTCCAAATGGTGCCTCTCCATGATGGAGGAGCCATGAAGTTTGGCCAAAGGATGTGCACTCCTGCAGTGAAAAGACGAGTTTCAAATTTCCGTACAGGTTACACACACGCCCCCGCACACATTCTAGAAAATCAGTGTTTTGACTTGCTTTGTCTGGTAGAGGTTGTTGGTCCCTCTGTGGTCGATATCGTGGCAGAAAGCAGCAGCCACCATGGCGAAGGCATCTAGATCAGAGTAGTACTTCCTCAGCCTCCCTGTCTGCAGGCGAGGAAAGAATCAAATGGTGGCCCAGTACAATACATGGCAGTAAGTATGCATGTACGTGGTGTCAATAGACCATCCATCAAAAAAAAAAAGAAGAAGTACCTGAAGCAGGCAGAACATGGTGTGGCCTACGTTGAAACCATGCCTCCAGTTGTGGTAGGTAATGGCACGGTAACCCTTCCTCACGGTGTACATCCACCTGGTCAGCGTCTGAAAAGGAAACGGTGGTTAGCACTTAAAGAAAAATGTCAGAGAAAAGTAGAAAAATGCTATACTTTCACAGGACCGTGACCCAGTCGGATATAATATAGTGATTTCAGAGTGCCCAAGGAAATCCACTCTCCCTTCACAGCTGCACTACAGAGAATCCCTCAGATATGTAGCCACAGCGTGACGTGCTTCGATGGTTTAATCACGTCTCCTTCTCTGTGAAGCCATTAAATCAGTTCCAAATGATTTTGCATGATGATCACATGTGTGTATGTCATTTAAAGTTAAGGTCATTTAATGGTGAGGACAAGAACTGCAGATCAGCAACTTAAAAACGAGTAGAGCTGACTTTCACAGTTTTGTTCTTTTTTTAACCCTAATCTACTCTTTTACTGATGACATCCTAGATTTGTTCGGGACAAAGCGTAAGACACTCAATCCCGTCCCCCCGATGATTGCACCGGTAGGAACATCATGTTAGAGCAGATTCATCGAAATCAGTGCCTGACTTCTCTGACTGCGTGACTCACCTCTGCGGGAACTTTAAACTTCTCGACAACTCCGAGCTCAAAGAACATGCGAATGCCGGCTTTGATAAGGTCAAATTCAGAAACGGGGAAGTCGCTGAAGGAGAACAGGTACAGATTCTCCCCATTGACGTTGTCAGCTGGCGGGCAGGTTCCTCTCTGAACAAAAGCACAAAGCAGTTGAAACAGAAGGCAGCGCTGACTCACTCTACAGTGACTTGGTACAGATTACAGCAGAGTTCAATTAGATTGTGAAAAGCAAAATAACTGAATGCATTTGTAGGTTGAAACAGAACATACCAATAGTTTGTACATCTCTTTCTGGTCACAGTCTTCAGGCTCTGAATCAAACTTTTCTTTGGTGTTCTGGTTATAAAAGAGACAACGCACGTTTCAAATGACTGATGTCCTTGATTCGCAACAAAAAGCAAATACACAAACACCCCGTTGTCAAGTTTTCAGACACTTCAGACTAATGCTCTGAGCAGGAACTTCATAAACCCTTGTCATCCTCTCAAATATTAGTTGCCAAGTGGAAGTAACATCCATCAGATCTCTACTCTAATAGCTGCTAATGGAGGACTGCTACTTTAAAAGCTATTCACGGTGCATTACCCTTCGCCTGCTTTGAATTTCTGTTGTAAATGCCCCTTGAGCAAATGTTGAGAGATCAAAGGTGTGTTTCTGGAGAGAAAAAAATATGGAAGACAATCGGGTAGACACTGACCAGAATGCTCTGCAGCTCATCTTTGGTGCACCTGGTCTGGTACATGAGCATCTCCTGGGCAATGTCTTTCCTGTACTCCATGCGGTTCAGCCTGTCATACGTGTCACAGTTCAGCACCGACCACCCCAGGAACTGCGTCAGGGCCTGGAAGAAACAAGGTAAGATCAGGAAAGAATGAGAGACAGAAACAACAAAAGTGAGCCATGACCCCGCACCACCCTGATTTACTTCTAATTACTGTCCCCATCTTGTTAAATAAGCTAATGAATGCACTGAGATACATTACTGTACTCGACATACAGATGGTACGACAGAAAAGTCCACATCTCACAGCGACATGAAGCCTGTTTTAAGATTTTTTTTCTTCATTAACATGCAAATTTATGCTGCGACACACTCAAAAATCAAAGTTCGATTCTACACACAAGCAGACGACCACATGAAACGACACACGCTGTATGTTGGTGACAGCGAGCGGCTAGAAAGAGAATGCCAACCTCAGTGATCTGTTCGTCGTGCTCATCGAATGGTTTGCCATCTTTCCTGTTGAAGAAAGTGGCGATGCCCACAATTTCTTCCTTTTTGTTGACAATCGGCAGCGACAAGACGTTCTTGATGACGAAACCCGTCTCATCCACAGCCTCTTTCTGCAAGACGTGGACATGTGATTACAAACCAGGGCTCCATCCTTCTGTCATACATACATCAATACAGCTCAAAGCTATCACACCAGATACTGATGTCCCACTCGAAATGTGGCAGAGTGGTTTCATGTGTCATGTATGTGGATGTGACAGCAAACGTGTCCGCACCTGGAAAGTGAAGTAGTCGTCTGCTGCCACGTTCATCATGTTGCAAATCTGCAGGAGAGCCACACAGTTGAAACACATATTTCACTAAATACCAAACATCTGAATCATTCTTATATAAACAACAACCTATCTTTGAATGTTACATGTGAGTTTTTTGTATATTAATCATCAACTTTTCAGAAGGAAATTCATAAATAGTCATTCCAGAATAGAAACAAGGGGGTTGAAAGAGTGTATTTATTACCCATAAACTGACAAATAACTTCACCAGGTCACACATATTCTTCTGTAGGGTGATGTATTCCTTTTGTCTGTGTTTGTATCTTAGCGCATTAGCTGCCAGGAAGTCCACAACTGAGTGGAATCGGTACAGAAACCCTCTATTTTTAGTCTTTAATCATCCCAGTGTTCCTGATAATGAACTGCTGCAGCTACAAGACACTTACAAAGCCGTTCTCTGCAACATAGGTTGGCAGTCCGCTAACCAGGGCCCAGTGATCTGCAGGTGGACCTCTGAAAGAAAGACACAGAGCTGTGTGAGCTGGAGTGACGAAAAAAAAAAAGAAGTGCTGGTTGTCATGTGGATGTTTGCCTCCATAGAAACCTTCAGGGAAAATTCACTTAGTTATTGCTGCCTCCAAATACTATTCATCAAAAAACAAAAACTGTCTATGCAAATAGCAGATTGATGCAGAATTAATGCAAGAATGTGGACAAGCATATGGATGTTTTGAAATATATAGGATACCTTCACTTTTTGGGCTGCAGCAGTTAGCCTTCCAATGCTAATCTCAGTGTGTTATCAGTCTAAAGCTGGGAACCATTTGCTCTCAATCCACTGACACATTTCAGTCTTTCTTTCTGCTGTATCTATATTGCACTGTATGAGTGCATTTGTTAGCCACTTACGGTATGACTTTGATTTCTTCTTTGGCTTCCAGGAGGTAGTCAATGATCTTGTAAAAGATGACTTCCTGCATAAAGAGGAGAAGCCCAGAATTACTGATCATCATCAAACTATGCCAGACAATTAAAAAAAGTCAAATAAAGCCAGATTTAAGCGTGCCACGTGTGAAAAGGCCGATTTGACACAGAGAAAAATGAATTTGTTACCCTGCCGTCTGGTGTTTTTGGTCCTTTATAAGGCTCCACATCTCCAAGTTTCACTGGCCATTCATCATAAAATTCCTGGAGGAACAAACAGAGAAAATGATTGCTTCCAGGTTGTCTGTAGCCACAAATGGAATGTGTTCATATCTGTCGTTGGAAATCTATTCTGCAATACCGACCTTCTCTTTGGTCATGTCCAGCAGGCCCACTGAGTACCGTTCACATTGTAGATAGGTCCTTACGGTGTAGAGGGCTTTGTGGAACTGTCTCTCAATGTCTGTCAACTCCTCAAACACTTTGCTGGCTGACCAGAGCAGCACCTGGAGCCAAAGGAACCACAGTGACTCGTGGAAAAGCATGCAGCGACATGTTTATAGATAAACTGTGAGGCTTGTTTTGTGCATGAGAAACATTTAGGTAATGCTCATTGAGCCTAATGATGGGAGGTTCAACCTGGATAACAGCTTTTTGTGTTCTGAATAGCGGTTACCTGACTCCTTCTGGACTCCACGTTGAACATGTAGTTCGTGTAACTCTGCAGGGCGATGACTTGAGCAAAGTTCATGTACTTGTGGAAGAGCTGAGGACCAAATCAGATTAGAAGTCTCATCAAAACAGCGGTTTTAAGACAGTGGCACATGTAAAGCTTTCTTCAGTACAGTACAGTTGTTCCACTTCCATGTGATTTGTCATAAAAACGGAACCGTACAGGAAGATCACAGTGGCTAAATCAAGCACGTATCCTCAGAGTGTCACGTACATACGATAAGATTTTGCAGCAAAACTTTTCCTTGTGTCTTCATAAAGTCTTTTTAAGATTACACATACTTTGTACATGGATTTACATAAATATGCAACACATATCATATGTCTTTGCAGATTGATAAAACTCCGTTCCACTTGGGATCGCCGAACCCTTTCACTTTGATTTTCTAGTAAACACGAGTGTGTTTTTTCTTAAAAATTGAAATCCACATTTTTAAAAATGCAAGATTTTCACCCAATATAAATAACATGTAAAGCGAGAGTGAAGTGAGATGACACAGTCTCTGTCCCCACATCAGATGCTTCATTGCATCTCAGCAGCTAAAGCCTCTGCCCTCCACCAAGCCTCTCCTTAGATCTCCTCACTCTCCTTTTCAGTTGCTTTGAATCACCACTATAACGGGGGAGCAACTGCAGTTATAAAAAAAAACAAAAAAAAACATAATTTCCATCTGACCCAGTTTATTCTTTCTGGAACTGGGCCTCAGTGTGAGTTTGTGGCTTCAGAGGCACTAGTGAACGTTCTCTAACACAGACTCCAGAGATAACACATTCCGCCTTCAATCATTTTGCCTTTTTGCAAGTTTAATGCTCAAAAGCAGCCACACCAAGTCAGCCAGTCAGGTCTGATTGGCTCCCACTGGCATAATGGCAGTGTTTTTTGCACCATACTGGTAAGAGACGCAATTACAGCAATAATCTTGTGGAGGCTTTTTAAAGTTGCAGACGAGCAACTGTGCATATGGTGAGTGGAACTTCTTTGTTTAGACAAAAAGTTTGCATTAATACAGTTAAAGTTCCTTCACATGGCACTCGCTAATAAACCAACCGACCAATGTCAGCAATGTGAACACCTCATTCTGGATGAGCAGTGTTTGAATGTGCATTCTCACCTCCTCGTCCTCTTTAGAGAAGCTATCGGCTCCTATTTTGTTTAGTACCGTGATGACTCCAAGGCACTCTTTGTCGGCCATCAAGGGGTACGTGAGCATGCATTTGGTCTTGTATCCGGTCTGTTTGTCCACAAAGTCACAGAACTTTGAATTCTGGATCGAGGGGGGAAGAAAAGGAAACACTTACATTAGATCTGGTTAAATCCATAAAACAACATCTCTGACATGCAACAACACAATCACAGGAGATTTCAATTTCTTCTCATATGCTCATTAATTAGCTGCCATTATGAAAATAAATCTTTCAATTTGGCATTCACTGACATTGTAAAACAGAAGCCACTGTGTTGTCTATTTTCTTTATCTTACTTCTATGTATATAAACGACAGCATCTTGCAGATCATTAGTCAGTATTCTATTATTAGCAACAAGACTTTCACTGCTGCATTTACATTCGTCAAAGGACAAGACGGGTCAGTAGCTTTATCGTGATATATTTCAGCTCTCTATTCTCTTCCCGCTAATGCAGTGAATCTTAGAAGTTCTAGACACATGACATATATTTTGGATATCTGTTGGGTTTCCACAAAAAAAGTTCCTTTAAAAAAAGTGTGTTGTAGCTCGAATATGACACATAATACAAAATATCCCCTAAACATTTTGTCAGTGTTATTATTTGAAGGTCCCTGGTGTAGCAAACCCTCATTATGTAAGTCAGGCTATAAATAAATAGCCTTTAGGCGGACCGAAGTAAATGTCAGATTCTTCAGAACAGCAGTGAGGAGAAAACAAGTGAGGCCATAATTTAGTATTCTAACACAGCAAATAGGATGCTGTTCACATTTACAGACTCTCCACTGCCCAAAACCACACAATCAGATAACATATTATTACAATATGCAAGATAAAAACTCTCATTTGCTGATTTAGATGAACATTTTAAGATGTTTTGATGGACTACACTGACATAATATTGTTCCTTTAACTCAATATTGTTTATTTATATTGTTGTTATTTATATTGTTTTGTTTAATTTAAACTCATTTTTCTGCATTAGTTGGTTTTAAACTCAAGTCAAGTTAAGGCAGCTTAAGGAAATTGGCTTGATGATTTAATTTGTCTTCACCTTGAGTTCAGGAGTTTAAGTCTCCTCTTCTGTCTTAACATCCTTGGACAATTTCAGACAGTTAAGACTGTTGATTTATTTTACATTATATACATTATAGAGGGAATTTTAATCACCCCAGCTCAACATAGCTTGTTGGTTGAATCTTAGAGTTTTCTTACAGTCTGGATGCTGAACTGTTTCGTCCAGTAAATGACCTTCAAGCAGCCTTTAACACAATTTTAGAAACTTTAAGCCATATATTACAGTTTTTCCCGCCTGGAGATCATGTTCACACTTTAACTTTTGTGAAACAAGCTCACACCTCTGTGCCATCTTTTTTTTAACACCTTTGGAGCTGCGCGTAAAATCTCCTCACCTTGGTGACGTCTGGAACATTTTGCGGCTTTTTGGACTGCGCAGTGTGACCAACAATCCCCATGTCAAGAGGGAACACAATTTCAGCCTGCGGATCGACCAGGTTTCCATCGTATTTGGAAGTCGGAGTCACGTCAAAGAGGCTCGTGGCGAGCTCGGGTATTCCGTTCCTGGCTCGGCACAGGTAGTAACTGACCCGGTCGGCCTGCACGATCATGGCGACCCTCTGCAACACTTTGTGAATGGACTTCTCCACGGTCTCCTGTTTCTGCATCTCCTGCACCAGCTCGAAGATGATGGCGGCCTCTTGCACGGAGTTAACATCCTTGAACGAGGCCGTATCCTTGATGTCGAGGGTCGCGGAAAAGGCTGCGGACAGGGCTTCGGCGCGCACCTTCTTGTCGAAGTACTCTTTGGCGAACTGCGGGTTGTTCTCCAGGTACTTCTCCACGCTATCCTTATCTGCCATTTTTTTTTGACTTTTTAGTAGTTTCTTTTAGATTCACAAAAGCATCACCTATGGGATTTGTTTCTGGATGGGGCTTGGGGAGGAGGGGGGGTAAACTGTGAAGATGGACCGAGGGGAGGGAAAGCTGCTGGATGGATCAGATGCGTCCGTTGGAGTGCATTCTCCTCCGCGGTCCCTGTGGGAGTAACTGACGCATCCCGTGTCCAGGCGCACACAGAGGCAGCAGGACGGAGTGCGGCTTAGAGGCTGAAAGGATCAAAGTGGCCGCTAATTAATGTGACGTCATGACATTAAAACCCCTGCTTTAAGCGTCCTTAACCCGCAAATCCCAACGCTGATCATTTTATATCGGGCAATCCTCCTCCTCCATCTCCAGGACGCGCAGGAGAGTGAGGACTGTTGACAGGTCAGATGCCAGGCTTGGGAGCTGTGATGAAATGATGGAGAGGTGAAGGGAAGAAAACTGACCCCAAAACATTCACTAGTGGAACCACACTTTCCTTTTCTTTTTCCTTTTTCTTATCTCCATCCAACCACTGGTTTCCTCACTGGAGGCCCATTTGAAGCCTCCCTTTCCCTGTCTTACATTTAATACACTAACACCTATTAATTAACCAATCAAGAGGCACGATATCAGCCTTCCAAGTCTCAAATAACCTCCCTGCTTCAGCAATTACCAGTGCTCCCTCTCCATGTTGTTGCTACAGCAGAGGAAGCACAAAAATAGTGCCAGCCACCGGCACCGATCATGTGTGAGCAAACCCAACCTGTGCTCTAATGAAATCATCAGCATCAGTCCCAGAACTGGATATTGGCCAATTAGTGGGACTTGGATGTCTGAGAACAAGGCCCTAAACAAAGATGGCTTGCTATTATTAACTAAGCGCACTGTCTGGTTAGCTGCTGGCAAGCTGGCAAGACAAGGAGTTCCCCACTATTTTGTGTGTATGTGTGTTTGCTGTGAGGATTAAGACAAGCTTATCAAGGGAGAACTACAAAAGGTGTATGTGTGGGTGTGCGTCCGCCCGCGTGGATTCCAGGCATTGTGGAAATAAATGAGAGCGGCCTGTTTGGCAGTGGGAGAAAGTGGTCGGGGTGTTAGTGAGCGACGGAGCTAACAGGAATAGCAGGTGTTTTGTTCTCTAACTCAGTTGTGGTTTTTTCCCAGGCTGTGTTGATTTTTCACCAAATTTGTCTGTTATTTTGGGCGCCTATTAAACTTTTTACTGAGCACCGGGGCCACAAGCGGTAATTACAAGGTGATGGCATATTGGATTTCCCTCCTATTTCACTTGCTTTAAAGGCTCCATCATTAGACGTCCTGATTGAGAGAGAGTGGACTGAGACCGCATACCAAAAAACAGTCGGCAAACTCGCTCAGTCATGTCATTTACAGAGAAATACTCAGGGTGAGTGTTGGTTAAAATGGGAGCCTTAATTAAAATTTGCACTCTGGAGCAATTTATTCAATTATTCCAGTGCAGTTCTATAAACATTATACAGGGGAGGAAGAAAAAGAATAATCAGAGACACAATTGATGACACAATCTCAAACATATTATGCCAAAACTATACTTATGCCAAACTAGGAAACCTTGTATAGTTATTCTTTTATTTGAATTATTATACACATGTTAGGAGAAGAAGTACAAATGTTCAGCTCTAGCTTTTATTGTTGTGGTAATACTTTCTAAGTAGACGAGCTGAAACATGGCTGTTCTGAAACACATTTCAGAGAAATTATGTTTGATCCAGTTTAGAAAATTGGTTTCTTTTAAGACAGCGAGTATTTTGTGATCCTCAAAAACATTTTATCTCCATCAAAATGACCAGTGTCCCATTTTAACAACACAACTGGCAACACGGGACACTTAGCATTTTTCAAAAGGGTGAAAGAAGTTTAGAATTGATTCTTAGTCGTTTTGATAGAAAGTTAGACCAAATTGGAGAATAAACTACCTTTTTTTTTTTTTTTTTTTTTTAAATCAAATGCCTCTCTGCAACATAAAAGCATTGGTTTTTGGTTATTTAATGAACACAATGACCTTAAAATGAGCCTCATTGCAAAGCTCAAGGTACCAGGTGTCGAGTCTTACCAATACTCCCTCTACAAAGTCTACAAAAGCTACATTGACTAGCATAGGCAATTAATTAGCAAGCATACTGTCATACCAGAGCCACAAAAGCTTTTAAATTCAACATTTCATTTGTCAGCGTAACATCATGCATGTCCAGAGACAATCGTAAACTTAGCTGCAGTTCGTCTGTCATCTAGCGCAGACCCATGACATAAAACACAAACCCACGAGCAGGGGAAAGGCCTCTGGAGGCGTAATCTACTCGGCGTAGTCTCTCCACACTGTAACCATAATGAAAATCCAATAGAATTTCCCTGCAAATAAAACTATCTTTGTGAAGCTTGTTGACAATGTTGACTCAAGCGTTTGGTGCTTTGTGTGGTGCTGGGGTCGGATTGGATCGTGTTGTGTTTGGACATCACACTCAGCTTATCCAAAACTGAGGTAAACATGCTACTTCCCTGTCGTCCTCTGAGCTCCACGGTGCACATGGAAGCTGTGCATTTAGCCACGAGGTACTGAATCCCCAAGTTCAGGCAGGATTTTAAGTAACTTTCGTCTCTCACCCGACCAAACCAAGAAACTGACTTTAAGCACGACATCACCATTTACCAACACACGGCTCCAAATGTTAAACACATACAAAAAAACCTGGCAGTGAAACATATAGCACTTCTTGGCCAGTTTCCACGATTATGAAATGTTGCACTATAGCCTCTGGCAAAATTCCAGCTGCTATTCTTTCTGCTCAAGAGTGATTGCGCTGTTTTTTTTTTTTTTTCCTCGACTGGCCTGGGCCTTCGGTTATGCAAGCTGCAGATGTTTGGCCGCGTTGAGCTCCTTTATTCAACCGAGGCCTCAGAGGGCTTGTTATATGATCTCAGTGAAAAACAACAGCATCAATTTATAACAAAACCTGCCACAGAAGATTCAAGTCAGATGAAAAACAGACCTGTGGTAAAGCGTAAAGTAGCCATTCCTCTTAGTTCGCTCGCACTGATGTACATTTTTAAATCGTGCAAACCTGGAACGGCAGAATGAGACAAATGAGGAAAATTACACAAGCGAGGCGACCCTGGTGTTGGGAAACAACGTGAGCTTGAATAGTAATTGCAGAGTTTCTTGAATATATGATATTACATCAATATTATCCTTCAGAATGGGGCGTTTGCTTTGGAACAGGATTCAGTAATTAACTTCTTGTGGGAACATTTGCACAAACATGCACAATTCAAATGGGATTAAAGAGGTTAAAATGGACAACAACAAAAAAAATTGTGGTAAACAGACAAAGAATATGTCCATGCACAAACATTTAGAATTAACTTGCACATCTCCCATCATTACCAAAAGGCGTACCAAACTCCAGACTTTGTGCTTAGAAAGTAAGTAGTTCCCCCTTTTCTCACATTGATTATTTTCTGACGGTGGACTCTGGCTACCATTTACACAAACAGCGCTGGGAGATAAAGCAACAACAGCTGATGCAACAACACCGATGCTGGCGGGAGGCATACATCACTACTGTAACATCTCTTTGGAAAATAACAAAGGGCCGAAATTTAGAGCCACTTCTTTTTTTTTGAACAAAGACAGGATTCAAGCACGTAAATGCATTCCACTTAAAAGTTTAGTTCAAGTTTTGTGCCTGTATTTGTGGGTGCACGCTCCGAGGAAACCGCTCTCAAGCCGTAATTTCTTTCAAATGTCAGTCGGCTCCCCGTAACAAAAGGGTGCAACTCCCCACTTGGTTTGCTCACCCTGTGTATACCTTGACAAATGTATGCTGCTGTCTACACACGCCCGCTATAGCTTATTCCAGATGCTGCTCTTGGCTTTGCGAGCGGTTGCTTTCATAAGACCAAGAAAGCCTCAACAGAAAGAGGAAAACACATTTTTTTTGGGGTGGGTGGTGGTGGTGGGGTGGTCGACCAAATGTGCAGAACACACAAATCAATAGGTCTGGGGCCTGCAGTTATGTAAATGTTTGTCCAATGGAAGGCGAGCGAGCTGTGGGGGGAGCAGGGGAGGTTCAGGTCTCCACAAGTTATTATGCAATAGCAGGCAGCTGTATATAAGGCCAGACCCAGACTGAAACCCAGAGGATCTCTCTGAGCTGCTCAATTCTTTTTGGTAACAAGGTATGCACTGATAATGGATTGTTTTTTTCTTTTGCTCTCAGATTTTGAACTAAATATTTAAAGTGAATGATAATTTTTGCAACAACAAAAAAAAAAAACAACCACTTTTCTCACAGCTCTTGAAAAATACTCTGTAAATATTTAATGGAATTTGATTACACTCGACTTGAGGACTTGAATAGTAACAAAATGGCAAAGCGGATGACAAATTTGTCTGTTTTTTTCTGCTGCTGTTCCCCTGTTGTGCCTCCTTTTCTCAAACTGCCTGCACCCGACCTCTTTCTTTCTTTCTTAGAATGCTGCGGTACGTTGTGACCCTCTGCCTTCTGGCGCTGTCCTGGGCACAGGACTTACCGAACTGCCAGGTAGCCAACATCCAGGTCATGCAGAACTTCGACAAAACCAGGGTGAGTTGGAATTATAAAGAGATGTATGAAGCTCTATTAAATATTCATCTTTTTTTTTTTTCCCTTATCTTCAGCTCGATGGTTAAAAATGGATGATGATACCACTTGTGTTTTAAAGGACTTTGTACAATACTAATTAGACTGTAGGTCCAAGATCTTCAAAAAAGCATCTGTATCTGTACTCTCCCTGTAATTTTAAAATATTTTAAATGCTTGATTAAAAACACTGAGATCTATCTTTTAGTATGCAGGGACATGGTATGCCGTGGGGAAGAAGGATCCAGAGGGTTTGTTCCTGCTTGACAACATCGTGGCCCAGCTCAACATCGGAGAAGACGGCAAAATGACAGCCAGCGCCGAGGGCAGAGTCATCATCCTCAAGTAGGTTCTGTTCTATCCTGTGGTGGCTCGCCTTTCCTCCTCTTTGAGCACCTCCAGTACATACTACATAACTATGCTCCATGCAGAAATCGCCGTGTTCGTTTCTCACATTTGTCCTTTATGTCCTCCTTTCTCTTTAATCTCTAGCAACTGGGAAATGTGTGCCCACATGTTGGCCACCTTCGAGGACACCACCGACCCTGCCAAGTTTAAGATGAAGTACTGGGGAGCTGCAGCCTACCTGCAGACTGGAAGTAAGTGGAAAAGCATTTACATCTATTAAATGGAAAGGGCTTGACTTGAATTAGCAGATTTCTGGGCTTGACAACAAATCCATCTAATAATATGTATCCAGGAGCTGTATCTGTCAGCTGAGTCACTCATATCACATTGCCACGTGAATTACTGACATTCGGGCAACTGTTGATTTAACATAATCATCAACTTTTAGGTCCAGTCCCAGACCCCTCCCTTGGTCCTGCCCACGCATTTTTCATGCTGCCCCGTGGGGTAGGGTGTCCTGCCTCTTTTGGTGATTGTGTTGTAGTGGTCATCTCGCCCTCCAAACAGAGCATGGAGGGCCATTTGGAGGGCGATGTGACCGCTACCCCTCACCAAACTGAAAAAAACTAGACACCCAACGTGGAATCGAACCAAAGTCTCGCTAGTAGGGTTTCAACATGACCTTTGGGGGGAAAAAAATTGATTGATTGCAACTTTGACATCACAAAAAGACCAAGTGTGTGTGTAATCTATTGCACAATTTTAGATATGACATGCTGTCTCCGTGATGTAAACCAAAACTGGATCTAACTGCATAATATTTGCCTCCACAATAAAATCTTTTTATTGTTAAATGGAAATTTACCTCCATTTAGCAAGTAGGTGCCATACAGACACAACCAAACCCTCTGAGATGTTTAGTAAATGTTAAATTGATCTGCTTCTTTGGTCTCTGCTTTGAGGAATTTAGTTTGATCTCATCACAGTATGTTTAAAAAGTGTTTCACAAACTGCCAAAGGATTGTTTCGCAATGATTTAAACTCTGCCTCCCCCTCATTCTCAGATGATGACCACTGGGTTATCGACACCGACTACGACAACTACGCAGTCCACTACTCCTGCAGGCTTGTCGACTCTGACGGCACTTGCTTAGACAGCTACTCCTTCATCTTCTCCCGTCACGCGACTGGCCTGAGGCCGGAGGACCAGGTCATCGTCACCCAGAAGAAGCAGGAGCTCTGTTTGCTGGGCAAATACAGACGCGTTGCTCACTATGGTGGGTGAAGTTCAGCTGAGCGCTCCTTCATTTACGCTGGGCTTTATTGATTCATGTCTTTTGTCAGTTAGTGTCACTCAATAGGGTGAAAGACCAAGTGAATGATTGACTGAATGAAGTTGTGTAAAGCCTCCCGGTCACAAACTAAGCTGATTGACTGAAACAATAGATATCATTCAGTGCTCAACAAACTGTTTCTCTTCTTTGCATTGCAGGCTTTTGCAAGAGCAGCGGATCTCTTGACCAACAGTAACACTCTGGGACTTGACGCCCTTCTTCCGAGTCGCCTCTACTGTCTCCATCCTGAGAGAGAAAACGGACCAATCTTCCTTAAAAAAATAAACTAAAAATGTAAACTATAAAGGTGTCAAATTTACACGAGTATACTGTAAAAAGAAAGATGTCTGTCGTTGTTACTAGTTAATTGTCAGTTCCTCCAAATTTCCACAGTAATAGAGGAGTTCAAATTAGTCTTATCCTCGTAATCTGTTGCATGTTGTTGTGTTTTTTTTTTTGTATAGGAACTGCAGAATTGTGTAAAACTATCTCAGTTATGGGAACCAGTGGAACTTTTCCAGACAATGTGACAAATAATCAGTTGTGAAAATCTCCTTTAAAGTGAACCTGGACCCTCAGCAGTACCGCAGCTCTGGATTGTAACCACCGTGTTTACTCGAAAAGAAAAAAAAAAACAGGTCCATAAATCACTGGCTTTGCTTTTACACTGAAGGACGCACAGTATCTTGTAGCATAAAAGTACATATTGTTAATAAAGCCTTAAAGATGCACATGTGCTTTTTCATGTGCTATAAATACAGGCATACAGTAGCAGTTTGGTTGTTTCTTAATTATATGATGTGTACTTCTTGCTCCAGTTTTTGAAATAAAACATTCATACCGTGCCGGCTCCTTCAATTTTTGATCGCCCTTCAAATATTTATCCGGATTCCTGGATTGCAAATAACGAATTCATGTTGTTGCTTTTGGATTCAGTCAGTCAAAAGACATCAAAATCGTACGTACATGCAGAATTTTGTGTTTATCTTTTATCGCCGCGCTGCATCAAACAGAAACGAGGGTATGAAATGAGCTTCAGGCAACGGCTTCCTGTACCACAAACAGCTGGGTTTAATCCTCGGCAGCAGGGCCTCCCACTTGGCCAATTGTTTTAGCAACATGTGAGATGAACCACGTTCTGTAACTTTTCATTTATTGTGGTGTTTGACGGATTCCAGTGTTTGTCTGTTCAGTGCTTGCCACATTTTTTACCAGCACCGATGTCTGAAACTACTTTTCATGTGTAGTTTGACAAGTTTCAACATCTCACTTGTCAATTTTAGATTAACATTTCAATTTTTACTGAGAGACACACCGACAATGCCATCCATAGAACAATGCTGCACATCTCTACGGATGGGAGGGTTGGTCTGTCCGTCAGTCAGTCGATCCTTCACTTTTGTCCTGACTGAAATAATACACTGTGTACCTCTGGTGTTCCCAGCAGGTCGACATCTTTGGATTTTAGTAAAATGTCTCGGCAGCTATTGGACATGCTGCCAACAAATTTGATCCGATCATCCACCCTAATGACTTCTGTGATATTTTTTGTGAAGTTTCCACTCCTACGAAAAAATATATATTCACATGCTGGATGGATGAGCATAAATTTGGTGAAGAACCGCCTTTGTTCCCACATAATGCATCCTGAAGCTTTTTGTAAACATCTGAACCTCCTCCAGTACGACCATGAGGTTGACATTTAAAGCTTTGGATGTGCCACAATCGTTGAAATAGACTGCTGTGAAATTTGATCAAAACGTTCATCTCAAAATCAAGATGAATTGTAACGAGCAGATCTTTAAATTTGAATTCAGGGTTTCCTCTGCAGAGAGGGCTTTTTGGTGCTCCCCCAGGAGGCTTACAGGCAAATCACCAACAACAAAACAGCAACAGAATAAATGATCATTTTTGTTAATCAGTTTTAGTGACAGGAAACTTTCCTATCACAGGGCGGTGTATAAAGTTCTGTCAAGTCAGGTCACAGCGTCACGGCCTTTGTCGTGCACGTCATGCAGTGCGCGATCACCCCAAAAGTCCATTCTGAGCCAGGAACAACCCTGGAATTTATCCAATACTGTATAAATACCTTCCAAACTAATGGCTTGTCTATCAACCTCAGTTACACTCTGTCTTCAGGCCTCACTTGCAAAATATTGCATTCCAACCAAGAGTACTGAAGAACAGCATGCCAGCATGCTGACTTTGGCATTTTGCTCAAGGCTCCGCTGCCTTTCCATGGATCACTGACATGACAAAACATTTACCAAGTGCTGTTGTGTTGGAGGGAGGTTTACATCTTTATTGCACATTTTTGTACAGTACAGAGCATGGCAAAACAACTTTGGAGAACATGATTACAATGAAGGAAATAACTTTAAAAAACAGCAAACTTGACAAAAGCAATATGATTCTGAGATCTTCTGAACGACACACAGCCCAAGTTAAAACAACTACAGATAGGATGAACAGCAGTAGTCTGTCTGTCTTACTGTAAGTCAATCTAGTCACATTGCCAGGGCTGCAGGAATAAAGACACCTTAACCCCCTTTCCCCTACCAAGAGGACCTTCAGTAATCCCTGCCTTAAATAGTTTAGTACAAGGAATTAACTCATGCAATCTCATTGCAGCCTTACAGGGCTGCAGGCTTGAAAAGTCAAGGTGGAGATGGAAGAGAGCTTCACTCAGAGAGAATACACAGACAACCTGCCGCATGTGACCAGTTATGTTTAAGGTCTGGTTACGTTTAGGCAAATAAAACTATGTGGTAAAGGTTGAAGGGAAAAAAGAATCATGGTCATGGTTGCAGTCACATGGTTTAGCAAAGTTTATCCAACTATTTGTATCCTGACAGGCAGAGAAACGATCGACGTGTTGTAATCAGACACAACCACTAAAGATATAATAGATAACACATGGCAGGCAAGTTATAATCATATAAACGGAGCTGAAAACACATAAAAATCACTATTTTTCCCTTTCATTGTGTCCTTCACATCAGTACTATCAAACAGCAAATGACCACTGCCGCTTTTCTTTTTCAGATCAACGCAAATGTGCCCAAGAAAATGTCACACAAAACCACCACAGGTGCTGTTACTGAAACTAGGAGTAGATATAAGGTGTGTTTACAGCTGGTTTACCAACAGAAGATATTAGGCAGGTTTGTAAACTTTAACAGAAAACTAAATAAAGCAAATCCCTATGATACAAAAAAAAGACAGTAGATCAGCCAAGAATAAATACTTAAATCAAATACACACAAAAATAAAAAATAGCCAGAATTTATTAAGAGCTTCACAAACACTGTAAAATATAAATACCGGAAGACCCCAGACATAATTATATGGGAGGCTCTATTATATAAATGACTTGATCTTTGGCCTGATGATCGTCTAATGGCAAAAAAGAACTGGAGTACACACATGGCATGAACGTGTAAACACTTTTAACAAGTTTTTAAATAACTCTAACGTGATTTAGATATGAAATATACGTTTAAAAATAAAGTCCCTTTTATAAAAACAGAACATTTTTTGATAAGAAGCGACGTGTTATTTGGGTCTGGTGTGTGAAACTTCTTGGAGTGAAGACAAAGAGCCTAAGGTAGTACTAATCTGAGAATTTCTTATGTTTTATGGAAACTATACACACAATCCTCCCCATGATTTGCATTATTGAACATATAAACTTGTTTCAACTGATCGTTATGACACCACGAGGAGTATTTTAAACTTATCAGCGTACATGAGCCTCATTGCAATTCACTCAGTTTATGGAAATAGAAACAAATAGCAGGATGGTATGTTAGGAGCCTTCTGGGTGAGTTGAAAAATGCCTTTTACTCACCTTTGTTGCTCACAACAGTGCTGTGTTTATGGAAATCAGTGTGTGAAACTGCCTGTTCACGGTGTTTACATTCTCCCCCAGACAGGTGTTTAAAATACACTGGAGGGGTTACATTTTCTGAATGAATCTAACGATCTAGTGCAGTGGTTCCCAGCCCCATTGGTGAGTGATCTATGCGATATTGCTGCCCCCTTGGGTGAGGGCAGGTTCTGACACCCAGGTTGGGAAACACTGGTCTAGAATCAGTGCTAGCTCAGGCAAGGCAGTAGTCAATGTGAGCCAGGAGCTCTCTGTGGCGACTGGTGGGATACGGGGCCCGACACCTAGGGCACTCCAAGAAACTCTCGTCCAGGAGGTTGGTGACTTTAGACGGGGATGTGGGGCCGAGAGGATCGTCAATAGTGAGACGCTCAAACTCAAGCCTATTGTATGAGCTGGGCTCTGAAAAGCGAGCGTTTGGCTGCTTCTGAAATACAGGAACATAAAATGACATTAAATTAGCAGAAGCTTTGGAGCAAAAAGACTAAGGCTTCTAAAGTTAGATAAAGCAAGAGCCATTATTTGTGATTAAACTAATAGACTAAAGCTAGACTTTAAAAAAACAACGTATATATGGTTGCAACGTCTTACAACACTTACAGCAGACTCCAGTTTAGCAATCTGATCACGGGCCTTGCGAAGCTCCTTCAGCACCTTATGTAACTGGTGCTGCATGCTCTGACGATCAATTTTTTCATTTTCAAAGTCCTTGGCAGAGAGTTGGATCTTAGGAGGGGCAGAAATATATGAGAAGTCGAGAACACAAGTGGGAACAGTTTGGACTGTACTACTTACTGAAAACTGTTGCAACTCTGCGCTACACACCATCTAATAGGAGCGTGCTGACAGATTTTCCACTCACAGCTGGGTGGCGAACATTCAGATTGTGTAATCGGCAACGGCTGATCTAATTGTTGATTTTGGACTAAAACTATGCACACGTAAGCATTCGTCGAACTGTCTGTGCAACGTTTGCGAGGTCTTACCTGTTGCTCCAGTGCTGCGATTCTCCTTTGTTCTTCATTTTGGCTCAGAAGAGACTTCTGCAGCATATTCACCTACGAAAGTGAGATTTTCAAGGCATGGTAAATACATCAGTATAGCACCTTTCAAAAGCAAAACACAACGCTATATTTCAGTTCTTCTCAATTCAAATAAACCCGGAATTAGATTTCATTTTAATACGCACAGATATTTACTGTGCTCTTGTAAAGTCAATGATAACTGTTGATGGATGAGGTCCTCCTAGTTTATATTTGCAATGCTATAAATGCAGGCTTCCTCTTTTGCATCATGAGCGCTTTAATAAACTGAGTGAATGACTTCCATAATGTTAGAGAACAGTAACGAGACGGCGAACGGGAACGTTACCTGCAACAGAAGTTCAGCGGATCTCTTCCGTTCCTCTTCCAGTCGAATTTCCATATTGTCCAGTTCGGCTCTCATTCTGTCTGCCCGCTCAGACGACACGTGTCTCTCCTCACTTACTGCATGTCTGGATGTAACGTTTATGTAACCCACAAACATATGAATGGTTTCTGTTTCTGTCCAATGGTTGATCAATAGTCCTGTTTACCCCTTGTCCTGTTTTTGTGCCAGTTTCAAGCCTATGAACAGTATTTCCATTTTGTATTCAACAACCTAGAATCCTAGGTCAGTAAAATTTGAAGAAAAGTGGCCGAAGTGAGTAAAATCGATAAATGAAGCGTTTTTAAAAGAACACATCCCACCAGGCCTGCAGTTTGGCCTTTTCTAATCTTAGGCCTGTGTTGTTTCTGTGCACGAGTCACATTTACAGTGACACTACGACTGTGCGACTTCTGTTTGATATCAACAACCAGAGCAGACTTGCTTTTTACCTGTTGCTCAGTCGTTCTGCCTGCAGCTGCATCTTGGCTTCCTCCAGCTCTTTGCTCTTCTCTTCGTACTTCCTCAGAAAGGATGACAACTGGCTGCATTTTTCGTCGTGCTGCCTCTGCAGCGCTGACATCTCCTCCTGGGCCCTGGTGACCTGCTCCCTCTGAGACTGCAGTGCAACCTGAGCTTTCATGGTCTGCAGAGGGAGGGAAAACAAACATCAGGGTACGGTGTGTGCTTTATGTCAGCTCATTTCTTCTAACAGAGTTCTACAGAACAGCTATTAAGATATCTGAATCGAAATCACAGATGCCTAGCGGGGTTAGTGCACTTGCATGCTGATTCGGTGCTCAATCAATCTTTTGAAAAGGAAGGAGAGTCAATGAATTTGTACATAGTTTGATAGGGAGACTCCAAGGTTGCCAGTAAAATGATCAGCACAACATTCAGAATACAAACAATAAGTAGGCAGTAAACCAGAAATTCTTACCCCTGGAAAAGAATTCAGTCAGAATAATGAAATATTTGCAGCATTTACCTGCTCCCTCTGCTCACTGAGCTCCTGGTGGGTTCTGGAAACTTGATCTTTTTGGTTCTCCAGGTCTTTTTGCAACCCTAACATCAACTGTTCGTAATGGCTTTTAAGCTGGGATTCCTTTTCTGGACCTGCTGAACTGGCAGGAGCTGAGACAAGAAGTGTTAGAAAGCAACTTAAGAAGCTATTTAAATATATTAATCACAGTAATAGTGTAAAGTAACTGGTACTCAGAACTGTTGATGTAGAAGATTTATGGAAAGTTCTAACATTTACTGTAAAGGCAACAGTCCTCAATGTAAGGGCAATTCCTAATAATTTTAAATCCAGCATTTTTACCTGTCTAATCTTTTCTCACTTAATACCGCAGCTTAAAAATAATACATCAGTCAAACTGCACACATCTTCAAATTCCCATATTTCCATTCCATACTGAGTGAAACAAAAACCAAAATTAGCACTGTGTTATCGTAGCAAATGGTGTGGAAATGACAGATATCGTTACCCTCTGAACTGGCCTCCTGTTTCGGTTGCTCCTGTTTTCCCTGAGCCAGCTGCTTCTCCAGCTCCATTGAACGGGCCAGGACGGACTGCACGTAGGCCTCTCTCTGCTGGTCGTACACCAGCCACTGCTGGTTCTTCTCCAGAGCCTGGTGGTGAGATGCAAAGCCCCTATAACGCTACACTCTTCTCTGTGTATGTGGACATAAAAAACTCTTTGTCCTTATTTTCATCCATTGCAGATGACAGTGACAGGAGTTTGGTTCTGTGTCCAAACTGAAAACAACCACCTAACTAACAAATATAGGTCCTAGAATTTGGAAAACTCCCTTTACCCTAAATGCAACTGTAAGAGTGAAATATACCGACTGGCAAGATATTTCAGTAACTAAAAACAGTTTTTAATAGAAGAAATGTTTTTCTCGAATTACAAACAGGCATGTAAAAACTTTAAAAAACTGACTGTACTCACGTCTCTCAGTTGATCTTGTACCAGTGCCAAGTCTGCAGGGGGTGCCTGTCCATGTCGAAGAAAGAAAAACATTCTTTAAAATATACCAAAGTCTCATAGATATGGTATTTAGCATCAACACTTGAATATAATTTAGTTCTCACAAAGATCTTATTCAGATATACTTATTTCTAAATTGAAAAAGAGATCGAATTTCATTTGAATTGAATGAGCAAGTTGTAATTCTGAAAACATCAGCTCATCAAAATGCAGTGTGCAGCCGCTGTGTGTATCTGAGCCTTCTTGTTACTACACAGTTATTCTAGAGATAGTGCTGTTGTGAAGGAATATTCAAAAATAACTTTTGACATCGATCCAAGACAAGTGAAGATGTTCTAATAGCAAATGTTGAAACTTGTCATTCTGAAGTATTTCACATTCGTGTTTTTTGTTTTGTGTGTCTGCTTTTCAGTTTATTCCGTTTTTCAGGGAAAAATCTCAACAGACACTAAAAACTGCAGGTCTGCCACCGGCTTAAAAAATAAATAAAATCACACAGCGGCTTGCTGGTTTAAATTATTCATCTTCTTAATTTTTAATAATGCAAGAAGAGAAAACTCAAGAGCAAGTGATCAATCTAGGCGCTACTTTTTCTGAGACTTGGCCGCAGGACCTGAGGCACCAACCCAGGGGGCAAATTCCTCGACATCCATCCCTGGAGGATAGTCACTCATCTCATGATTCTATCACCTTGACCCTAAGGTCTACATGTCTGAGCCTATTCAACGCTTAAGCTGCAGCAAAACCTTTCACAACAATGTCACAGTAAGCATCTAAACGATCGTCTATGTGCTAAGGCTCCGTGAGCTCTTCCTCGACCAGACAAGCTTGTCAACTTTTCCAGATGGATTTAAACGTATGTCCCATAAGCTAAGCCTACTAACAGCTTTTGAGAATCCAGGAAGTCTGTGGGGAAAGGGTGGGGGTGAAGGGGTTTGTGGTCAGATTATTTCTAGTAATGCAAAACAAGATAAACCAAGGGCTTTGAAAGTGAACAGTATTCTTGGAAAATGTACCATTAGGACACAAAGACAAGGTAGTCATTGTGCATTTAAAACTGAAACACAGCTACATCAAAAAATATGCTATGTCTTCAAGAACTAAGCTTTGTTTTTTTAAATGAATTCCCTTCCTTGGGCCCAAAACTAGACTTGAAATGTTAAGAAAACAGCCTAAGAACATTTACATTCAAAGACAGAACTTTAAGGATTCTGGTGACCTTTCTGACTTTAAAAAATTATATCTATCCTTGTGGTAAAAACCTCCACTTTACTTTCTTTAAACTCTCCAGTTTTTTCAGGCTCTAGCCTCGACTGATGCAATAATATAACCACAGTGGGAGCAGCGAGATATAAAAAGAGAAACCTTTTCGATAACACTGTTTGGAGCATCAGTGAATAATGGACCTAGTGTTCTTTGTAACTGACTGTGATTAAAATATTAAGAAATCAGGATGAACTGTACAGAGGGAGGACTCCAGGACGAAATGTCCTGACAATTTAAAAAAAAAAAAAAGTAAGCTGGGTTGTTTTTCCTGTTTATATGACCTTGAACTGAGCCCAAAAGAAGGTATGCGATGAGCCTTCACTCATCCATATTCCTCAAGTCCCTACTTGTGATTTTCTCACGTCAGCTTGTGCAGAAGCCTGGAAGAATTCTGATGACTTCTCTAGTGAGTACAGCAGGACTGGCTGTACTCAAAGCTTCAAAGGGCTTCCTTTTGAAATAGGATAAGATCCTATAGTTGTGAGTGAAGGGGAAACTACAGATTCACCAAAAGCTTTTTCATACATGACTTTGACAATAACATGAGTTAAACAGGCAAAGTGTGACATGACAAAGCTGCTATTTTATCTTTCATCAAACCGCTGTAAGCTGTATGTTGTTGCACAAGTAACCCATGCTAAGGAGTATGGAAAAATATGTGCACTTATTTACAATGCTTCATTGTTAACCACATCTTATCTGGAAATGTGACTTTCATTACAGCAAATTAGTAAAACTGCTCCAAAGAGAAGATGATGGCAGCAACTGAGGACAACAATCAGAGGTCAACATTGCCACCTAGTGGACAAAAGAGCACCTACATATGCGTTTTCAAACAAATCTTTCATGCAGTACAGCCACTAAAAAAAAAACTGTTGAAGCATACAATAAATCTGTTAAAAAGGGCCTGATTTAAAAAAAAAACAACAACAAAAAACCCTTAGGCGACTGATTGAAGCCAAACCACAACTATTTAAATGACATGAGGCAAAAATCACACCAATTATGTATGAGGCACACATAATCAGACCTTAGCGTGACTGGATCACAAGTCAAATAATAACTACAAGAGACTTATATTCGTGAAAAATGCTACAACGCAACAGAAAAATGTATCCTGCATCAACACTGTAGATACAGAAGAAAAATCTTAGAAGAGGATATTAGAAAGGGAGGCAGAGGACAGAAAGCTGTTGCAGGATTTAATCCTAGGCCAGGGGGAAAATGTGCTGTCAGAAGGAGGGATATAACTACTCAACCAACCCTGTTTCTTAGTGATCTGACAAAAAAAAGGGAGTAACCTTATCCTCAAGTTTTCCAATAATCGTTACTCTTTTTTTTTTCCTTTCACCATTGCTTCGCATTTGTAATATCCTCAGATTATTCCTACATAATTAAGGTAGGTTACCAAATATGCACTCATTATACTCGTAATACTTTTTATAATCACCAGCACAAGTCAGGCACATTTTAAAGCCAATCATTATTAGGAGGGATCCCCAATAAGGCAACTGTTCATGTGGAAGAGGAGATATTTTTTTCTGACTAATTAGAACATCTAGACAGGTATAGAGGCCACAAGGTCAACCTACCACCACCTGGGTTTCAAGGGACTGACATCGGGCCGAAACAGTGGCCAGCTTGTTTTTCAGATTCTCCGTCTCTTGTGACAAGTTCTGGAACAACGCGTCCCTCTGCTCTGCCTCTCTCCTCCGCTGCTCCAGCTGGGCCTGCAGCGATGCTACCACCTGAAACACACAACAATATGAAATAAACATCAACCTCACGAGGCTCTACGACAAACATGTCAGCTGGATTTTACAACCTTCGATTAATCAGAGACAGCCTGCTAAGATTTTTTTTGGGTTTTTTTGTTTTCACAGCAATTATCGTCTTGATACAACTGACGCTACGTGGCTGGCAGTCTAGTGACACTGCACATTCAGCATCTTTGCTTTTTAGCACTTGTGTTGATGGACGTTAACGACGAAGAGGCAAGCGTAATTAATGTCTGGGCAAGGCAAAATGCTGATACTCCATTAACCAGCGTGTCATCTTCAAGTTTGGTTGATTTCATTCTGTCTAGCCAAAATTAGAAAACAATTTCTGCAACAATAGAGATGAGATTTCATGAGGATAAGCAACGGACACAAATAAATAGCTTGAATTTCTACAGCACTGGCATAAACAGTAACAAGTCGTGAATACCAATACGAACACACACCCGCTACAGAGAAAGATAGTTAGTTATAAATGTCAAGTCAACAGCACATAACACCGTGTGTTAGTATGCAGTTTCTGCCGGTTGTCTAAACTTCACTTTGCTGAGCTGCTGTCAGGATTGGATAGAAGCTATTTCCCCCCAACTGTTTTTGTGGCAGCTCATTGAAATTCTAGTATGATTTTTTCCCCCCATTCTGACAGTTGTCTGCAGCCAACAATACATATGCCACCAATACAATGCCAAAAGTGCAACAATTCTTCACAAGTTGAGGAGTACTCTCAAAGACACAGCTGTAGGAAAATCTCCTCATTCTGAGCACAAAAGTGCTGCCTCAGGGTGTCTGAATGTGTGCATCGATGTGTCCATGTTTACAGAGGAGCTCTTGATGGATTTATCTATACCAGTCAACTATATATGTGATTTTTAACCATATATTTCTGCACAGAGCTGTCATGTCATACCTCTCCTCCTTTGGCTGACAGCTGCTGTCTCGCAGTTTCAAGCTCCTGCTCTTTAACCAGCAGCTGCTGATTGTTCCTCTCTCGCAGAGTCTCCAGGGAGAGAATCCTCTGAAATGATAGAAATTACACTCAAAGTAAAGCCAAAAGGAGCCAAACAGAGACAGGCATGCAAGTTAACCCTGAAACTCCTTGATGTGACTGTGAAACCCAACTCTTCATTTACCTCCAGCAGCTTGCCTTTGTCTGACTCAGGCAGTTTGATGTGTCGTTTGGCCAGTTCATCAATCTTTTTTCTCAGGTGAGCGTTCTCCTTCCTGACTCTCTCCAGCTCCGCCTCAGCCTTGGAGGCAGAGCTGCTGGATTTGAAACCCAACTTGGTGACGAGGGACTCTTTAGCCCCTTTAGATGTCATGGCTGCTTTGCTGGTATTGAGAGCCGGAGCAGTCTGGAGAGACAAGTAATTTCACAGAGTGACTGTTTGAATGTGAAGTTCACCAGGAGGTATTTTATTTTAATTTGAATGAAGCTATTTGTACAAACACTCTGAACTGAAGAGGAGTAGAAAACACACCCTTAGCTATAAAACAGCCCAGAGAAGAATGAAATGAAAAAACGATGATAGAAGTGGTTCTAAATGTAAATATTAAACTGTACAAAGGGTTTACAGGTTAGCAGAGGAGCTAGCTTCATCACAAAGAACACATGAGCCAGTGTTTCTGTATTTACAGTCCGAATAAATTAACTTGTGCTACTATTTATTTACTCACATCTTGCACTAACACACATTCTTAACATTAAACTTTTTCAGAGTATCAGTAACACAGAAAATTTAGTGTAAGAAAGAAGGGAAAATGTAAGAGAGAAGGAAACTGACAGCTAACGTTACACTAGGTATTTATTTGCACCTGTCTTTAGTCGCTAGTTAATATAAAATAACGAAACACTGTCCTATGTACCAGCTGTCCACGTTTAAGTACAAAACAAAGCTTCTATCACAGATAAACATGATTTTTTTAGGACTTACAGACGAGGCAGAATGAAGAAATCCCCTGAAAACAGTCTGTCTGTGAGGTGACCGTTTCTTAAACGACACTTTCGTTTCCTGAAGTTTGAATTGCAGCGCGTTGACGTCACGTCCGTGACGTACGGCGGGGTGCGCATGCTCAAGTCATCCGGAGTGTGCCGATATATCACAGGCTGGGCGGTGCCGCAGAGAAAATATGTCGATTTGAAAAAAAATACCTGCAGATGACATTTCACATAATGCAATTAAATGCTCTGTCGCTTTAGCTACTGTACCTTTTAAATTGAAATCACCTGGGGGGTACGTTTTTACTGGTCTTCAAAGACGGATTCATTTTGACACCGGGCTGTCGGTGACACTGGATGAAGCGAGCAGACGGATGAAGGCTAGTTTGGCCACAAAAACCGGTTTGTGAGGTTTGTGTGTTGGCTTTAACATACCGTTCCTATGCAATCAACCTGTAGAGGTGCATCATATGGAAAGGACACGTCATGGAAATAAAACTACGGAACCGCTTCAGTGCATGTGTATTTCTAGTGTAGCTTCTGATTAGAGCAAACACTGCAACCCATCATCAAGCAGCATCAAATCTTTAAGTCTGCAACTGTGAAATGCATGTGAAAGACATGTTGATATGATCACTGATCACTGCCTTGTGTTTGTACCTAAAAGTACATTGAACAAAAATATAAATGCAGCATGCAAATGTTGTTTTTTTCCCCCTCTGATGTACAGAAAAAAATAAATAAATAAAGAACTAAGTATTTTTATGGTTAAAACATGACTCAGTTTAACCAATTGTGCACAAGAATTTTTGTTTTTAGCTGTTTAACTGGTGAAAAAATTCTAAATTTAGTTAATTCACACCCTCCTCAGGTGTGGGTTTAAAGGACAATGATCAGATAACGTGACCTGTACAAAGACACTCCTTTGACCAGTGACTATAAAATGCCAGCTTAAAATGCAGCTTTATTCAAATGACACGATGCCACAGTTGACAAGAGGAAGATAAGAGCAGGTTGTTGGCACCCTGGATGCTTTCATGTCATTTAGGGCTGCAGCCAGACACTTAGATGTCCACAACACCCACTCATTTGTCGTCTAAGAAATCATCTCAGGCAGCATGGTGTGACAGACAATCTGCCACATGATGCTCTGCCTGGACGAGTCCAACAACATGATCCTTGTCCAGCAGCTTCGCCAAACCCTTCATTCCACAACCCCACCATTCCACCAGCAACATCGACAACACCATTAACTCTATGCATTACAGATGTGTGACAGGCTTTTGATTTCTGGTCTATGACCTCCACTCTCCATCTGCTCACTATCATTTCCAATATAACGCATTCTTGATTGCTTCGTGTCGTCCATTCTCTTGTAGACGTGCCCGCTTTGGAACAACAAATACTCATTTTCCTAAGTTAAAAAGAATGGATAGAATTTAATGAAATAGTCCTGCTGCTAATATATTTTTTGTTCAGTGTATATTTTAGCAGAGGTGCAAAATGTGGAAACCTACCAAGCATGAACAGTAAACTACTAATAGAGCATTATGCATAAGAGGCCAGCTGTATGTGCATTCTACATTAATCACAAGCTTTCTTCCGAGGCTTAGAGTGGAAAACAGCAGGGGTGAAGACAGAGGAGGAGCACTGAAGCAGGGGTGTGTTTTTTTAACCTTTAGGCTAATTATGATGAAATTTACACTGTAAATACTGTGTATATAGGCTACCTCCAATAATAATGAATAATGCTGAATACAGAGTTCAGGCTTGGGAATTGTACATGTCCTACAGCTAAGAAACCAGTGGCCTTTTGCATTTTAAGTCAGTCTTTGTGTGAGAATTGCTGGACAGACACAAAACTGTGTTTATCATGGTATTATAATTAGCAATTCCTTATAGGTTATGTGCTACGTTTTTGTTGCTGGTGTGCATTTCATCCTGTAATAGCATACGCTCATTGTATATTTTTGAATAAGCCCAGCCACGTTTTAGCCCTCAAACTGCAGTGACGCTGAAATAGCACTCAGTGTTTCAGCTCATGCCTTCAGCCTTCATCGGGGTAAACAGATGCAGTGAGTCAAAGTCAGTGTACAATAATTCCAACATAAATTAATCATGCTTGTCACTCATATTCTGCACCAGTTCTTGCGGTCTGTTTCATACACATGCTTACTGATTCTTCATGCATTTCATGAAAGAGCAGAGTGGAAGCCAAGAAAAAATATGTTCAGTAAATTAGCAGTATCTCTAAAGTGGCTGCAGAAGATATTCCCTTGACCTCTTCCAGGCTTTGTTGTACGCACGGTCAGCCCATTGTGCCGAGGCAACCCCTTGTTGGGAACTTGTTTTTAAGGTCTTCTGACCTTGCATCAAAACCCAAAACACATACTTTCAATCTGTGAGAATGGCTAAGAGGCAACTTGTTTGATATTCCTCAGATGAAAGCTGCTTGCAGTCAACACAGTGTTCCTATCAGTGGTCTGGTGTATATAGTGGTTGACAATTGTGAACTGTGTTTACTGATTATATTCAACACTGAGATTCATACAAAAAGTAAAAGTTGGGCCAAAGTTTTTCCAATAAACATTCAGTTCTTCTTTTTTTTCCATAAATGACCTACAGTTTTAATCGATGTAGCTACCATTTCTTCCAATAAAATATAAATAAATTTGGATTGTTCTGTATAAATCATTTGTACGCATCACCTGTAATAGACTTGACTGATTGACTGATTTTATGGGTGTCCAGTCTGCCCCGTAATTGCAGCTACAAACACCAATTAAATAACTAGTCATGAAGGTAAACACTGTTTTTGTTTTCAGTGGTTTCGCACCATTTATTGGAATTTGGAAGTGAGTTAAATGGGTAATTTTATTAAATTATACAACATTTTCATTTAATTATAGTCAGTTCTGGTTGTTTGCTTTCTCCTCCAGTAAGTCTCAGCTTAGGAGCAAAAACGTGGATAAGCATGAGATCTTCTCACGGCTTAGCCAATATGCCCTGCATGTGCAAAGAGCGTCCTAAGATATATTGTGTTCTATACCATCAGAGTAAGGTGGCTATAGCTCTGCTCCTCGGAGATAAGACAGCGAAATGGAGAGCACTCCTCAATATGAGGTGCCAAACCTCCAGGGCCGGATCTGACAGGCTCAAGCTGGGAAACTCTTCCCTCCAGGTTTGTTCAGATAACTAATTAAAGACTGCAGGGAGATAGCAGCACGACCAGAAACATATCTCCAAATCAAGGAATTAGGGTTCAGTCTGTGAAAGGACTTTTATCTGGACAGTACAATGTTATAAAATGTTGCTTCGTTTTTCACCATCTCTCAGTTGATTCACAGAGCTGTCAGACTCTCAATCTGTCCCTCGGTTTCCTCATCAGGGGCCAGGGAGGAGCTTGGCTCACGGATCAGTCTCCTGGTGAGCCATATCCGCATCATCAGCAGAGCACAAGCAGCTCTACCATTTTGCAGCAGACCTCCTGCTGCCCTGCATCAGTGCTGGCCTTGCTCCTATCGTCTGGAGCCGGGTCGCTGACCTGCGAGAGGCTCGCTTCTGTCGCGCCGTCCACCTGCACCGCGCAGTACTGGCAAAGCACTCGCTCTTTAAGTGGAGGAGATTTTGTTCCATGCAGAGAGCCATTATGCTCGAGCCAAGTCATCTTGATTAGATCAGATCAGATGAAACAAATGAAACTGGGCTGCAGCAGGTAAACACTGTTCTCCTGTCTTCCAATGATACATTTGACTCCTGTTTTGAAAACACATATGGGTCAAAGGGGTTAGAGGTTTTCAGCTGTGCATAGATGCGAATGTGGGTATCAGAGTAAACAGGTGGTCAGTGCAGGATGTTCCCATGTCCTGTATCCATTTAATGCTGGGAGAGGTTGATGCCCCGTGTGACCCTGAAGAGGATTAAGGTAGGAAATCAAAAATAAGCATCCTTCAACCTGCAACTGCATGAAAAAAAAAACGATTTAAGCATCAAAAGCATGTGCAAACCTGCAGCAGTAGCAACACACAGATATTCCTAATATTTCATTATGATTCATCTCAATTTCCAAACTTTTACAGTATCTTGCGGCGCACCAACTAGTGCTCAGAATAAATTCACAGTAACAGCACAACATGTGTGGGCGTTTCTGAGCTAAAAACAATCTTTTATTTTCTTACACTTAAATGGGAAAAAAATAAATAAATAAAAAAAAATGAGATGGCAGACACTGGGCCAGTGTTCTGGAAATAAAGACTTAACCGACTATTGACTGTGACATCAACACAACTGTGAAAGACTGTGACGAATTTCAAGTTCATTCTGCCACTGAAACCCACCTACAGATCAGCAGGCTGCCTTTCCAGGCTGAAAATGAAAACCATGATACATTTCGCGGCAGGAACATTCGAGTAAATCACTGACATTTCCTGTCTGCATGACCGAGCATTTTTAACATCTCTCAATTCATTCTTTTTTTATTTTTTTTTATTTATGATATGTGTTTATTTTGCTGTTTGACAGGGATCCCACATTTTTAGTTCTTTTTTTGGCTCCTGACATACTGGCTGCTTATCACTGCCTAAAGGAAGGAAAGAAAGAAAGTAATAGTGATGTGATCTGGGTGAATTCATGGATTGTAAGATTGACATAATTGTGTCTTATACCTTAGAGGTTTGAAACAGCGCCTTACTGTGAGTGGTGGTGTCCTAAAAAGAGACTTTTCCGCCCAAAAAACTTTTATTTTCTCACCAGTGCTCGTTTGGCAAATGCACCTTTCAGGAAGAAGCTACATTTGGATCAGAACTGTGGGCTTTATTTCCTCATGTTTTTAAGCACAATCAAATCTAATGAAGCCACACAGCTGTAATATACATTTTTTACAAACTTTCACTCTGACTGTTGTTTATTTGGTCTTGTGAATTCAGCTTTATAGAGACATACTTTGAAAACTACTCAATTTTCGAAGCCTATTTCAAGGCCCTCAAGATTAATTCAATTCTCAGACAAAAAGCGCAATATGTTTC